GAAACTCCCCATAAACCATTGGAACATATGTTTATGGATCTATATAGTACAGGAGGTGTAATGTTTTATGGTTAAAAACAAATTTTTCTAAATACGCTCAAGCGATGCCACTCACCGCAGTGACAAGCATACACATAAGTGAAGTTTTATTGCAATTTTTCGCAACAATATGAGTTCCGTTAAAAATTACCACAGATTCAGATGCAAAATTCAACAATGAAGTTATAGGAGAAATCTGCAATGCATTACATCCTAATAAATTTCACAACATCCGATAACCCGAACTCAAACTCACCAACTGAACGTTTACATTCAACTTTAGGTGAAATAATTAGAATCCAAAGAATAACCGATAAAGTTGAACCCGCGAATCTAATGAAATGCGCGATAATAGCCTATAATAACACAATACATCCCGCAACAGGTTTTACACCATTCGAACTCCTTTTCGGTCATACAAACAGTAGAAACCCGTTAGAGTTACATTTAGAAAAGGAATATTATCAGGAATATGTAAATAAACACCGACAAATAATGGAAAACGTTCAAAGTTTAGTTACAGCAAAACTCTCTTCTGAAAAGCAAAATTCAATAGAAAAACGCATCCGAGGTACTGAAACACTGAAATTCAAAGTGATTGATAAGGTATTCAAACAAATTTCAAAAACGGCTCGTAATAACAAGTTTGAACCTAGATATAAAGGTCCATATACAATCATCAGAATCCACCCAGAACAAATTGCAGAGCAAATACGTCAATGCCAAATCAATTAGAGTGCATCTTAAAATGCTAAGACTACCTGAAACTATCGCAGGGTCGCCGTCATCCTCGGAGCCTTCTGGTTCACCGGAAGCCGCGCCCTCATAGAACCTATAAAAAACATGAACGTAGTATTAGTATTGAAGGAAGCATCTGCTCAATATCAAGTGGACGGTCTATTTTTTACAGATATTAGTATAGTTAATGATAAGGTAAGTTTAGTAGAACAAAAGGAGACTTTATTTCTAAATAGATTATATGATAGAAACTATTAACAATAAATTACAGTATTTAGGGTCGGAAAAGATAGAAACTAAGGTAAATAGAAATAGATATAAAAGAGGTCTTATCAACGGCCTAAGGTCAATTGTAAAAGCCATTACCGGTAATCTAGATCAGGAAGATGCCATTTTCTTTGGAAAGCAAATGGAACAATTAAGGCAAGCTACACAAAAGGGTCAAAGGGAAAATATCAAACTTATGAAAGAATTCATGCAAATATATGAAAATGATCTAAAGCAATTACAAACAAATCAGGCATATTTAGCATTTTTAATAGAACAAATAAGTAATAAATCAATAATATTAGAGCAAAGGTGGGATATCTCAAATATTTTCACACAAATAGAAACTTGCTTACAACAATTGTATAATCGCATTACGTCAATTTAAAATGCAATAACATTTGCGCACTTAGGTGTCTTGCAATCTGGTGTTATAGAACCTATGTATTCGTTAAGAGAACTAGTACCAATAAAAAATGAACTAGTTTCAAGTAAATTACCTTTCGATCCTGTATGAATATTCATTTATTAGAAAAAACTATTACTGTAAAAGCTTATAGCTTATGTTAATTTTATATTAGAAATACCAATTGTGTTTCTCTTTCCCTATACCTTACTCCATATATACTCGATACCTAATAAAAATAATCTAGTATTAGTATCCCATAACTCTTACCTTATCTTGGGCAAAGAACAGTATGTGTACCCCACGAGCCGTGTAACACCATCACCGACGAGCTGCAAATCTGTAAACACCTTCAATGGACGGAAACAAGCAACTCTAAGACTGCATCTGGCAACTTGTTCAGCATTAACAACCGCGTAACGTACACGCAACGTACAATAATGAAATTCATCAAATTAAAGAAAAAGCTGGAGAAATGGAATCCACGGAAAGCATTGTATTATCAAGAAACCCAAGTTGGGCCACTATAGTTCTGTACATAATCGCCACCGCATGTATCGTGGGCATCTTCATATGCTGGAAGAAGAGGACATCACGACATACGGCAGCTACAGCGACCACAGCCGGAGTCCGCGAGTCGCCGGAACAGTTGCAGTTGCTTTCCATAGCAACAACACAGCAACCAGCTCCATCGCCGATGCTTACTCTCAAGGACGGAGGAGTTATATAACTGTATAGGCAGTATAGCCACCAAAATTCGTCATAACTATAAGCTAGAGTAATTAAGATAAGTAGTTCGTAAGTTTCCTCTGCCATTTGTTTGGGATTAAACGCCAGTTCCTGCCTGGCTCATTAGATGTAAAGACGTGTTTTTTTAAAAAAAAACCCCGATCCCCTTTCTGCCAATATAACTCCCGTATAACTCTAATATTTATTGCCTTTGCAGTTTTTATATCTTATAACATTTGTAGATAGTAATAGGTCGCGGGTTAATATTCATTGATAATAAAAAAATAAACTTCAAAAAAGGAGGTTATCAATTATTGAACTAATTGAAACTGTAAAATATTTAAAACTTTATTTCCAACGAACGCAACAATTCCATTAATAGTGGCATTGTATACAAATAACCATGGATTTCTCAGAAGATACTAACTATTTTTGTTTTATCTTCATAAGGACAAAGAAGAAAAGGAGACAAAATTAACGCGCCCATTGATATAGATAGAGACAGAAGATGCTATATTACTCAAATCGTTACAATCCGCCTCCACCACATAGTGTCACACGCATTTGTTATTTTTGTACCATAAAACAGTATAATTACGAGAAATATGAATTTCAGGGTTAACTTTGTTTCTTACAGTTCACGTTTCAATTTTATGGATATAAAATTAATCGATTTTTGTTACATAACGAGTTGCAAAAGTGTCAACAAATGAGAAATTGAGATTCCATAATAAACTGACTTGACACTGTTTATAATCAATATAAATATAAGGTGCAATATTATTATATGCCAGGACATCGTGGGGTGGATTAGTTAAGTATCTCCCCTACTGAACAACTTTTACTATGGGAGCAATACTGAATTCACGAATGTTCCAATCCTGTTTCATACAAAATTGTAATATTTATGAGATTATTAGTTACGCTTAGTTTAAGTTCGAGGTGAAAAACAATCATAAATTTATATTTCAAAGAAGCTTTTACTTTTAAAATCACTTTTGTATTGTCTAAAATTTTTTACCCATCATTCATTCATAATACGTCGTTTAGCTGACAAAAATAATGGATGCAATAAAAGTACCCACATTTAAGTAAGTACCACAACAAAATTACCTAATTAAACAATAGGTACCTATCATTAGAGAACAGTAAATTTAAACGCCATTTTGAGAAATATCGACAATTATTATGAGTCATTGACAATATTATCGTACTTACGGGAATAATATGTATGTACAATGTTCATTCCCGACCCTTTCCAGGCCAATCATGTTCTCGGAAGCACAGGATACGTTTATGTTTGAGATAGACAAGCAGACATATTGCAATATTAATAGCAAATATACCGATCTGGCAACGAAAGATAAATATATGACATCAGCTGTGTGCGATTCAGTGAACTCGTAAAAACTCCTGTATTTTGAGTGGGTCATTCATTACATATGATATGTTAATATTATTTAGAGGTTTAATATATATATTTTTTTTTGGTTTTTATCAAAAAACTCATAGAACACTGAATCGATGTTCACTTTGAGTTAATTTGATATTTTGTTCGAAAGTATGCGTGTTATATAAAAATATAGATAGTTATAGATAAAAATCTATTTGTTTGTGTGCATTGGACCGATCCTCTGATTTATCATTATAACTAACTTTGTTTGTAGAGAGAAATCTTAGAGAAAACTGACCCGATCATGAAAATTTATTCACCTACGGAAAGCTACATATTAATTTAATAGCTAGTTAATTAAAAGGGAATAGAAGTCAGCAGAAATATAACAATATCTGAGCTTACATCATTAATGGTGTTTAGCTTTTATCTAAACATCTGAGAATATATTTTTTATATAAATATACAATATCTTTTTTCCGTTCTTCTTCTGTTCCCAAATCTACGGCGAAAACCCTTCCCACTGAGAAGAACCTAAGCAACGGCTGCCTTTTCTTTTTGTTTTATTTTATACCTTCACAGAAAATTTCTATTTCAATTGTGATGGCCAGTGTGAAAACAATATCTAATAAAACTTAAAAAAATAAAGCCTTACTTAAAAACAAAACAGAATTAATTCTCAGTTCGGGCTAGAATTTTAGGGACACGTTTTAATAGACGAACTTCAAATGAAGATTCTTAAAGCAACCGCCTTTGTAGTTATTCATTATATTTTCTCTACTTTGGAATTAGTTTGTTGAAATTTATCGCTTTATTTTAGTATTTTTAGTGATAACTGATAACGATGACCTAATTTTTGGGATGACCTAGAATCAAATCTTTATAATGTGCATGGGAACTTCTTGTTATATATCTATGCTTTAAACAAAATATTTGTTTAATTTACTTTAAACATTTTAACGAAACAATCGTAAAATATAGATGCAAATAAAAAATCAGTCTAATTGATAACGTCCTTTTTAGAAACCCCAAAATTCGGTCGTTGCTGTCCTTCTTAATACCGTATCTTTTACATAATATTTACTAGTTATCTTATCTTACATGATGTCCAACTTATTAGCATTATCAAACAAACAAACCAACTGGTTCTCGTAACTAAACAAAATATACCGGTCCGTATAGACGCAAAAAATTATCAACCATTCATTGATAGAACACCGTTACTGCTAAATATCTTTAGTGACGCTTCAATTACCGCGAAAAAAATAGTGTTCATATACAAAAGATACTTTAATATCACGGGCTATAAAGTCGATAGTTTTTATGATTGTTTTTAGTCTGGATCGAGCAACGGGAGTGTTTTCATTATGTACTAGTGCATAAAAACGGTCAATTTGACCTCGGTGATGCGAACAACCTCACAGATTCAGATTTTATATCGGCAGCATCTAGTCAGGCGGCTGTGCTCGTCGGCAAGGAGTGCTCCAGTACACTCTCGCCTGCCGATAGCCCGACACGCGTGCAGCAATGTATAAAGTAATAGCGCTCGTAATATTATGCGCGTCCACATTTGCCGCCAAACATCAGTGCAATCACAGATCGGCGTTGATCATACTGAAAAGGCCCACATACGATTTCTCAGTGAAACTATTGGATAGAGTTACACAAGCTAACGATGGACACTTCGTGTACTCGCCTATATCGACATGGCTCCAACTATTGACTCTCGCCGAAGGTGCTCACGGGCAGACGCTCAAGGAAATCTGGAATGTAACTAAACATCACAGGCTAAAATGCTTCAGAAGAAAATGGAGAGCTATACTCAACCGGGTGGACAAAGATCTGAAGTCGGTATCCAAAAGAAGGGGTTTCATGATAATAGATAAGTTGATGAACGTAAAAAAAACATATGTGGCCGAAGTGGAAAGGCTAAGGTCCTTGCAGGTGCTGTTATTAGACTTCAATTACCCTGTGACCGCGGCCGATATAGCTAATAAGCAAGTGGAGAGCGCAACTAACGGCGTCATAGCGGATGCTTTTACACCTTACGATTTTAACTCTACCGTACTCCTCATGGCTGATACATCATACTACAAGAGTTCGTGGAAGATCCCATTCAACACGGCGTATACAAGATCCGAGCCGTTTTATTCAGAATTCGGCACCAACGTCGGCGAAGTGTACATGATGAATAGATTGGATTACTTTAATTACACCGAAATACCTTTAATAGGTGCGAAAGTGTTAGAAATGGCGTGTGGCTCTGACGGAAAGGTGTCTATGTTATTTTTCTTACCGACGAGCGGCTCTATAAGAGATCTGTTTTATTCCCTACAAAGAGTGAGACTTATGTCTATATTTAATAAGTTTAAATCGTCTAATATCACTTTGATCTCCGTAAAAATTCCTAGGTTTAAAATAACTACGGATATCGATAGCATACCAGAGTTATTGTACGACATGGGTGTGAAGAGGGTCTTCCATCCGGATTTAGCTAACTTGAGAGGCATAAGTGATTATAAAGTATACGCCTCTTTAATGGCGCAAGTGTCTGATATAGAAGTGAACGAGGAAGGCGTGGAGGCGACCACTATTGCAGACTTTTTAATATCCAACGAAGTAACCAAGGAGTTTACAGCGAACCGACCGTTCGCCTTCTTACTGGTGGACAAGAAAACTGAAGTTATTCTCTTTTCTGGTATGTACTCGGTGCCGAGTAAATATTAGAGGGTGTGGAAAAAAAAAACACTTAGAGACTATTGAAATTTTATTAACAATTTAAAAATAAATTCGTATGACTAGTATCACATAAACAGCCTCTTTCGAATAACATACGTGGTGAACTTAAAATATTTTAATTAACATGTGCGTATTTCAAGGTGAATAATACAAATATATGTTTTATTTTTTACTAAAACAATTGAAAACTACTGTTAATGATATTTATCTTGTAAGTGTATATAAAAGTATATAATTTAAATAAAATTGCATTATTTGGGAATCTGAGATGTTTAAAACCCTCAGCGACATGTTATATTAATGCAATTTTATTTAATCTAACAATAAATATGAAATATCAATTTGAAGTTCTCTATCTTTATAATTTAGAATCTAAAAATGTACATATATTTTAATACATCTTTATAACAAAAACTATACTAATTTTTGTAAAAAGTTTCTTATTATAATTTATGTTATACGAACAATAGTAAACAAGTATAATTTGAATGTGTGCCTATTAACAGAACGAAGCATTTATTTGATATATGATCGCTGTGACTGATTGTTAAAATAAAAAGAGTATTATCAAATATATGTTGTCTTTTTTCGTCTATGCTTGCAATTATTTAATTAGCATCCACAATGATATATTGGTATTTGTAATAAAATAAATGAATATTGAAAAAAAAACAATCAACTCAGGAGTCGACTGTCGCTGCTCTAGCTATTAGTCTATAAGGCAAAGGTATAAGGACGTTAAATTAATTTTATCAATGAATACATTTAAAGTAAAACATTTTGGTTTATTTCAAATTTCTAAATAGCTTACTTTGTCTAGATTCGATGTTTTTTGAGCATATTTTAATTAAGTCAATCTAAATATAATTATGAAAACTACAATAAACAAACTATAATAAACATATTCTTTAATAAAATAATCAATAAACCGCTCTTATAGCTATGGCTACAGTTATAGTGATAGAGCTAGGTGGTCGTTATCCAGCTGGTGTTACACAGGATATTATAGTACAGAGAAAGTTACATAGACACATTTAAGAGGGCGTGTACACCAAAACTAACTCAATTAATTTTGTAAAGTAAAACGTTATACAAAACAGGCTTATTTCTTCGCTTGATTTAAAACCGTAATGTTTTAAAGGTAGAGTTATAAATCAACTACAGAAATTCAAAATATTGTTGTAATCTGACTTGTAGCCGTGCGTACAAAAAAACAACGTATAAATAAGTTGTGAACTAAAATTGGAAAACTACTGCATGTTACCTACCTAAAGAAAGGGTGAGACTCACACATCTATGTACCAATGCGAGTATATCGCTGTATTTCGAGAATTTCACGAGATTTTAACAATAATTAATCAAAAATAGTTTTTGACTCTCTACCAATTATAATAAGGGGCCATCGTTTTCATTAGATATACGTCACTGGTTAGGAGGCGGGCGGGGGGTCCCCATGCCCTTGACGACAGTGTAGACTCACATGTTTAGTAGATTTTCGATATAAAAAAACTGTAACTTATCATATGAATAGCTATAACAAGAAACGGAATATAGCTATGAATTTAAAGAGTAACTTTTTGTATTTTTATTCTACAACGTAAATTAAAAAAAAAAAACACTTTTTAGTTGCAACAAAACCCTTAGAAATATGATATAGTTTTTTTTATTTATATAACAGCTTAATTGGATATTATTTCATTTATAAAACTAATTGAAACTTATTGATTATAGCGTTCACGCCCTCTTAATGTATCTGACTCTTTAATTAGTAGAGCACGGCTAGCGAAAGGTGAGAGAGATTGATTTTTTATATAAAAGGTTTTTGTATAAGATATATCTTACTTAAACTACCGCGCACATTTCTCATACCATAAAAACGAATGATTTATCTTATCCTATCTGGTAAATATTTCATTTACAAATACGATAACAAGATAATAAGGATATAGTCAATGATTAAAAAATATAAATAGATATAGACATTTTAGATAAACAGTTTTAAATTTATCTATGTGTTTTTTAAAAGAAACATTAAGTGAAATTCTTCCACGGTTTTGAAAAAATTTTGGAACTTATTTACAAAGTTTTCATAAATAAGTTGCAACTTATTTACAAAATTTTATATTTAAATATTACAATGTTTTTATGTTTAATATTTATTTTAAAAGTCTTCGATGTAATTTTAATAATCATGAACAAACTGTAGGTACATTGTCATTGACAGACTCAGACCAAATATTTTATTAGACGACCTCCGTAGTCGAGTGGTTCGCACGCCGGTTTCAAGGTGTCGCCATCTCTGAGGTCCCGGGTTCGATTCCCGGTCGGGTCAATGTAGAAAATGAACTTTTCTATATTGACTCGGGTCTGGGTGGTGTGGTACCTTCGTTGTCTCAGATACTCCATAATACGGGGGCTTTAGCTACTCATCTTGGAATCTGAGCAACATATGTGATGTTGTTATATATTTATTTTATTTATTTATTTGGTCTGAGTTGACAGATATCAATAATCAACTTACGAGTACACTAATCATAAGTAGCAACATGTATAAAGACTTACTTTTCCTTTTTAACTTCGAATAAAAAAAAGAAAGAAAATAACGGGAATATGTACGTATATCATATTAAAATTAAAATATTAAAAAAAAAAAATTAATTGCTAATAACATTTTTTTCCTGTGGATCCTATGTAAAAATTGGCAAGTTTTGTATTGAAAGAATAAGAATATATTATGTTTGCTATCCGATTGTATCAAATAGTAGAATCGAACAGTTCCCTAGGCATAAAAGCACATTAAGTCATTACATAAACCAGTTTGGTCCACATGATGAGCTATAATGTTATAATAGCTATAAAATATATAATTAATCATATATATTTTTCCATGATTTATCGATCAATTTCTGGTATCGATAGTAATCGATAAAGAAGCAGAATAAAACACGGCTCAGTTACTGTGTCAGCGCGCGGAGTGCGGACAAATAACCAAATATTACACTTATAAATAATAATAAACTGGAATTTATTTTAAATAAATTATATTAAACAACATCACATAGATTGTACAGATTCCAAGATGAGTAATTAAAACTCCCGTATTATGGAGTATCAACTTTGCCTCTTTTATGGGTACCCCAGCACCCATAAACGAGACAATGTTGAAAAGTCCATTATTTACATTGATCCGACCGGTAATCAAACTTGGGCCTCAGACTTGGCACCTAGTAAAATTTTCTAGTTTTGCTTGTAGGGAGAAATCTTCGGTAATAATTATCAGAACATGAGCATTATTTTGCCTACAGGAAGCTACGTCATACAGGTGTGACACAGGCTATGATTAAATCTGGCGAAGTCGAGGGAAAAAGCTTTGGTCAATAAATTAATGAATCAAAGCGAGAAACAGAAACCGGCCACTCATCACACGAGGATGTCATCCATCATTATTAATGTCCCCACTACTGGGGCTCAGACCTTGCTCCGAAGCTCTTCTTGTAGAAACCTTGCTTTTTTATAAAAAAAGGGGTTCGGGCTTTCCCTATAGATAGAACCAAGTAGGGAGTATGGAGACCATGCGATCTCAGTGCGTATTGGTGGGTATTAACGACTACGGAGGAGTTCGAGATGATAAATTTTTGGTCTCCTATCATAACACCGACCATTACAAAAGTTGTGTAACATCTAAGACCGACCGTGCTAGCCACTGCTCTATCGAGGATGTAAATGATCAATGTAAATACTCCTTTAGTGTGGTAGTCTAAAACCCAGTAGCACAAACGTCTTCGTCAAAAATTTTAAAGCGACTGCTTTAAGTCGACATTCAACCTTACAGACCTTTTGTGCAACTGGGTGCAAGACTCTATCTATATATACTTACATCAAATGGCATAGAAATCTTTTCAGTCATGATTGAGTAAGGAACATTACGTAATAATCGACCCAGTCGGTTTCGTTGTATAGAAAGGTTGAGTGAAAGGTGATCGATCAAAGAGATACCAAGCGGATATTAGTGCGAACAGCGGATGGAGACGACCTCGGTGGACCAGATCAAATCGAGTAATTAATGACTTCAATAACTAATACTTATCTCAAAAGAGACTTTATTCAAGAAAATGCTATTGAACTAGGGCGGAGGTCTTCTGCAGGTTTATTAATCGGATGATAGACAATCGTTTCTATGGTAACGTTTTCATTCTCTATACAAACTTCCACTCCCATTTTGATGAGTTTATTTGCTGATTTTCTGGATAAAATATAGCCCATGTTCAACGCATATAATGTAGCTTCTCGTAGCTGAAAGATTTTTTTTAAATTGGTCCATGAGTAAGTTAGAAAAGAAGACTTTGTTTATTGCTCGACATATTTTTTCCTATGATGCTATACTTATTTATTATAAAAGAGGAAAGATTAGTTTACTTGTTTGTTTGCATTGGACAGGTTCCGAAACTATTGGACCAATTCATAAAAGTTTTTCATCTAGAAGACGCTACATAATTCGCGTTCGACGTAGGCTATGATTGAAACATCTAGTTTGCTAGAAATTGTTTCACAATTTAAAAAAAGAAATCGATTCACATAACTATTTTCATAAAATATATACATACTCATTGAAAGTTAAAAATCCTCTTTTCGGATTTTGAATGAAATCAGAATACGCAATCTTTTCTTTTTATTTTAGCTGAGATACATGAAATTCAAGACATATCATCTAAATATTTAGGTGATATATGATTGTGAAGTGTATTTTGTTTTGTTATAAAATGAAAACTACTGATCCGATTTCGTCAAAATTTAAATGGGACCACATTGGTCCATTAAGCTGTCGAATAAAAAAATAATTTTGAAAATATCGGCGAACATAATAAACATACATATCCGCCGAACATATAATCTCCTCCTTTTAGATTTTGAAGTCGGTTAAATAGATCATGTCGCTTGAGATTTGAGCAAAGCCAGGTTGGATTGCTAGTATTTCATTTATTATGAAATACTAAAAAAAAATCAAACCGAAGATCGTACAATGAATTATGTCATTGCAAGTTATTTGTAGCGTGCGTACGTAATAACATAGGCTCGCCCAGCTGAGACGTTTATATGACAATGTTTTATTAACCATAATATGCTTAATGTTAGTTTTCACCTTGATATAATTATTATGTTTCATTAAAAGCAAAGATCTTACGCACTAGAGTAAACATTGTGTATACTTTTACTTATTTAGTTTAGTATCCATCATGATGTTAGACTCGTACCCATATTACATTTTTAATATTTGTAAATTATACTACACCACTTTGACTTTGTCTTTAAGCTGACATGTCTTTATATTTATGTATGAGAAATTTTTTACTGTTTTTCATTATTTCATAATCCCATTTTAAACTTAGAAAATATGTTTACGAGGGTCAAACTGAAAGTTCTTAGAAAATCAAAAACTGATTACATTAGCCAGTTATTAGTTTTATTATATCTTTTCAAAATATTGTCCATTCACGTCAATACACCGCTGCATGCGATGGAACCACTGGGAAAAGCACTTTGCCCACTCGTCCTTAGGGGTCTCTTCAATG